ATATGTCGGTGTGTATGAGACCGTGCGTGTGAATGTCAGTGTGTGTGTGTGTGTGTGTGTGTGTGTGTGTGTGTTGTATGTTTGCGTGAGTGAAGGTCAGTTGTGCGTGTGTGTGCATGTCCGTGTGAGGGAGCGGGCGGGAGACCGGCGGGCAGATCCGAGGGCGGGAAGGGGGCAGGGGGGCAGGGCCGCCCGCAGACGCGCCACTGGGGAGAAGGTGGGGCGCTGAGCGGAGCCACAAGGGCCTCACTAGGATGGGCTCAAAGAGACGAGGGGTCCCCGGCCTCCATTATGTTGGTGGTTCTTGGGGATAAATGGGTGACTGCGGGGCAGGGAGGTTGAGGGTCATCTGAGGACCCTTGGGGTGACCGTCTGTGGACAGAAACTGGGAGACTCCCGACAAAGGGAAAGAAGGACAAACAAAAGTGGAGAGAGGCGAAAGGGGAAATAACCCTGGGGGGTAAGAGACGGATGGGCGCTGGTGGCGGTGCACGTAGGAACGGGGCCTCCGGGCTCTGACCTGGGCGACAGTGTAGGGCAGCCGTGAGAAGCAGCGAGGCTTCAGGGAGCTAGCACCTTTCAGAAGGGCACCAGGGCCTTTCCCAGGGGCGGGACCCAAAAGAGGTGTGCAGGGTCATCCCGCCAGCCGTCTCAAGTACAAGGGCAGGGTCTGCCCTGCCTTCTCCTCGCTTGGGGGCTGCACCTGTCTGCCCACCACACAGGTGCGGGGGAGGAGGACTCGCTGTCCGCCCCTGAAGAGCCTCAACAGAGTCTCGGCAGTATCGGGCTGGTAAACGCAGTGGTCCTGGTATCGGGGGACTTCCTGACCTGCTCCTTACTCTCCCCCAGGCACCCCTCGGGAGAGCCACGGCTGGGATGACTCTTCACGTGGAGGAGGAGAAAACCACAACCAGTCCCACGTCTCAGAGATTCCCATTGGGACACCTCTGTTTCTGTGAGTCCAGGTGATGGGTACGGACACGCACGTCATGACCGCCCCAGGGCGGAGAACCTCCCCCGCCCTCTCCTAGGCCTCACCCGGTTGGCCTGGGGACATGCGCCGGGGCACAGGCACACGCACCCAGTCCTCACTTTCCAACCTGTTCTCTCCACCTCGCTTTGCAGGGTAGTTCTCCCAGTCCAGCCCGGACGGCCTGATCTACTCGGGACTGGGCCCGCCCCTGCAGTCACCTGGCCGAGGGAGCCAACAGCTCGCATGTCCTGGGGCTGCTGGTTCTGAAGGAACGTGGGGTAGGTAACTGGGATTGAGGGAAAGCTACAGTTTTCCACCTGAGGAAGGGGTGGGCTCTGACTGCAGGATTGGCGCTTCAGCAGGGCTGACAGTACCTAGTTCACAGATGTTAAAAAAAAACACACACAAAATAAAGTATCGACATTTGTCCCCAACCTAATAACTCTCCGAAGAGAGGACACGTGCTCTGGAGAACCAGAGGTTTTCGCTGCTCCTGCTCCCTGTGCAGAAGTACCTGGCACCTGGCCCCCAGTGGCAGGGAAAACAGAACAGTCGGGTGGCGGCTCAGTCCCAAAGCAAAAAGAAGCAAGCCTACGAGATGAAGCAGGAGAGGGCTGACGACAGCTGCTGGAAATCCGGGCTGAGAGGCCGGGGGGGAGGACCGGCAGCAGGAAACCAGCGCCCTGTACAGCTCTCGTCAGGGCCTCAGGGGCACAGATGGCGGGGGGGAGGCCAGGAGAAGGTTCCGCAGGGGACGGGGGCGTGGGATCGCTGGGGATGGGGGTTCCTTGGATCGGGACGGAGTACCGGGACTGAGCAGAGAGCCCAGTTTGGCAAGAAAATAAAAAATACCAGGGGCAGGGGGTCCAGGTGCGGAGCCTCTTCAGCAAGAGCGGTTCAGAGCCTCTGCCCTGTCCCAGACAGGCCACCTGGCCCCGGGCAGGGCCGTGAGTGTGGCGGGGGCGCCTGGAGAGGGTGCTGTCCTCCCCACGCCGCCCCCGCCCCAAAGTAGTGTGGGAAACAGCAGGGTTCTCGCCCTGCCACTGGTTACCAGTGTCTCGAGTCCACCAGCTCAGGCCGGAGGCTGAGTTTCTTGAGGCTCTCGTACCCCACCACGACGACAATGCTGGAGGGCGTGGCTGAGATGATTCTGGCAGAGAGGCCCTTCATGAGGCCCCAAGGCCCCTCTTCTGCCATCAGCTGTCTGAAGGTCAGGATGATGGAGCTCTTGCCTTCAACCTGGAAACGCAACGTGGCGGAAGGCCACGGGCCACAGTCAGGGCCACTCGGCGCGGCCTTGGGCTACGGTGGAGAGAACCGGACTTGGGGCCCGGGGGCCGGACAGGGCGGCACAGTGGTTTATATGGGCTGTGGTATCGGCCTGCCTGGGTTGAACTCTGCTCCCCAACTTGCTCACATTGTAGCCTCAGGTAACGTGCCTCAGTTTCCTCAGATGTAAAACAGTAACGAAGTAGACCGAACCCATGTGGTTGTTCTGGGCACCAGAACCGTAACCGTGAGCTGCTGTTCCTGTCATTAGGTAAGCTACTGAGCTAGGGCTCCTTGCCGTGGGGGCTCCTCTCTGGCCTCAGGGAGCCCAGCGACTGAAGGCCCTGCTGGTCTGTCATTTCCATTCCCGTGTGTCAGTCCCTCTGAGTCCCCGAGGCTGGGCCCACCCCCGACCCTGTCGCCCCCACACACCCTGGGACCCATCTTCCCTACTACACTGGAAATCGGGCTGAGGCAGAAACCTCCTCTCTTCCTTCTCAACAGTCCTGCCCCCTGCCCCGGCCCCCCACACTCTGCCACCCAGGTACACGTTTAGACACCACCCCCCTCGGACCCTCGGCCAGCGCAGCACAGACGCCCTGCTTGTTGCACACCCCCGTACCGTGCGACATTCACAGGGTGACCTCTGGCTGAGAATATTGCCCACTCATCCCCACCCCGACCCTCCTCCACGCTCCCCTCTTCCTCTCCGGTACTCTCCTCTGACCACCTCTGCTCCCCTGCCCTCCCCTATCCACAGCCGCGTCAAGGGCTGTTCCAGCTCTGCTCTGGTCCTCACACGCGCTTGGTCTCCTCCAGCCTGGGAGCGCTCAGAACAAGGCTCAGGAGAGAACGAGAAGGGAACCTGTGCACTTTGTGGTCTGCAAACCAATCAGATGTCAATTTATTCATTTTCAAAAGCGGGGGTGGGAAGCGCATTCTTTCCTACAGACAAACACACCTAGATTTGCCAGCCATCTCCATCCCAACATCCTCGGATCAGGGAAGCCGACTTCACCCCCAACCTGTTGAGGTTATTTTCTTTCCCTCTCCTCCTCACCACAGCCGTGACCCCGCTCTCCCGCACAGCTGTCCTCTTCAGCTACCCACATCAGATGTTCAAACCCCCGTTCTCATACAGCAGAACCTGCCATTTGTATGTTACACATCCATTCAGATTTCATTTCCTTGGATTAGGTGCTGGGGAAGCATCTTTGAGCTGAGTGGAGACAGGGACTACGATCTCTGGACAGCACCACCAAGGGCTCCGTCTCGGTAAAGAAAAGCATCGGCTGTGCTAACGGGATGAGAGGCAGGGAGGAGCCAGTGAGGCATGGCGGGGACAGGCGCGGGGGCGTGCAAGGGGGCACACGTGGTGAGGGGAACGCTCTAGGCGTTCCAGAGTGCTCTGCTGCCTGCTGCACATGGTAAGTCATAAGCACAAGGAAGGGGCCTGGCTGACCAGGACGAGGCTGGCTGGACTAGAGGGCCGTGACACAGAGAGGTCGGGGGAGCACTGGGGAGCACAGGTGAGCCCTCTTACCGGGGGCAGGGAGGCCGGTCTTACCTGCACTCGGGTTCGGATGACGTCCATGGGATTGGTCAGGACGGAAGCGGTGGCCGCGGCCAGGGGCCCCGAGACGGCTTGAAAGACAATGTGCGGGCACTCCTTAGGACAGAGGTACGAGATCTGCTCTGGAAGCGAGGGAGAGACAACGGGAGAGACGTGAGGCGCCGTCCCGTCTGCCCTCACACTGCTTCTGCTCATTGGCCCAACGCGGACGGACCCTCTCCGTCATCAGCCACCTTAGATCCTGTCACTCCCATCCTTTTTTCTTTGCTTCCTTCTGAGCCAAGAAAAAATGAGGACCCTCAGGCCCCTTCCGGAAGCCATGTTGGGTACATTACCCGCTGTGAACAGAGGATTCCTCTGGAGAAGGGGTTTCAGAACCTCTCTGCCTGCCAACTCCCCTCCTCTGATGAACAGAAATCCTTCCTGACGTAACAACCTTACGCGTGTGCTCTACTCCTCCCGACTCCCAGGCCAGGCAAGCACACGCCACGGGTTTTCTCACACGGGCACCCCATCGCTGGTAGGAAACATGAAAGCTGCTCTCGCCCACTGTCTCTAAGGAAGGGAGCAGGGTGACCGTGGTGGGTGAGGAGTCTTTTCACCGCGTCCCTGTCTTTCTTTTCGAACTTTGAGCCGTGAGAAGATTTTTTTAAATTGTAGTTCGTTAGCATACGGTATCGTGTTAGTTTCAGATGTGCACTGCAGTGATCGGACACGTCTATATGGCACTCCGTGCTCTCACAGTAAGTGGACTCCTCATCCCCTTCACCTGTTTCCCCCGCCCACTTCCCCTCTGGTGGCCAGCAGTGTGTTCTCTGTAGTCAAGAGTCTGTTTTTTGGTTTGTCTCTTCTTTTCTTTGTGTGTCCCGTTTCTTAAATTCCACTTATGAGTGAGATCAGATGCTATTTGTCTTTCTGTGACTGACCTATTTCACTTAGCATAATACAGTCTAGATCCAACCATGTTGTTGCAAGTCGCAAGTTTTTTTTTTTTTTATGGCTGAGTCACCTTCCACCATATGTATACGCCCGTGTGAATGTTTTTTTGTTTTTTTTTTAATTTTTTTTTCAACGTTTTTTATTTTATTTTTGGGACAGAGAGAGACAGAGCATGAATGGGGGAGGGGCAGAGAGAGAGGGAGACACAGAATCGGAAACAGGTTCCAGGCTCCGAGCCGTCAGCCCAGAGCCCGACGCGGGGCTTGAACTCACGGACCGCGAGATCGTGACCTGGCTGAAGTCGGACGCTTAACCGACTGCGCCACCCAGGCGCCCCACGAGTGTTTTTAAAAATAAAAACAATCACAGCCGAAAGAGAAGGTCGTACCCTGCAGTGAGATGTTTTCTGCAGGCTCTATTAACAAAGAAGAACTCAGTTTCCAAAATGCTAATGAAGACAAGGGCATAGTGCCCAGATTAGCCCACTCCCAGCATCACTGGGAAGCTGACTGCAGTTGAATTTTTTGCTTTAGCCTCCCTAGAAGCGAGAATCAGGAGTTCACTCATTGGTTCGACCAGAGTTGACTCAGTGACTGCCGTGCACCAGCCACCCTGGCTCTTGAGGATGGAATGGTGAATAAAAGAGTCTCAAATCCCTGCCCTTAGGAAATGGGAACACAGGCAATACATAAATAAAAGGCAAAATCGATAGCTATATCAGAAGGTGATGTGTGCTTCCTAGAGATAAAAATGAAGCAGGGAAGGGAGACAGGGAATGCCAGGTGTTGGGAGTGAAGGGGCTGCCCTTTAAACAAGGTGGTCATGGAAGCTCTCTCCCAGGAGGTGAAGTCTGAGCAAAGGCCTGAGGAAGAGTGCACGGATCTGTGGAAAGAACTTTCCAAGCAGAGGCAACATCCAATGCAAAGGATAGGGGCAGCAAGGCCCGTATGAATGAGCGAGGGAAAGAACACTATGCAAGGCCTGAGAGGTAAGTCATTAGGGCCTTGAAGCCACTGTGAGGCTCTGGCTTTCATTCTGAGGGAGGCTGGGTGTAACGTGGGTCATCTCGAAGACTCCCTCTCCGTCCGCTCTCTACAGTCCAGTTCCCATAGTACCTTCGAGAGTTTTTCCCTCATGCCTCTAGTTTTCGTAATCTGTGGCCACCTAAATAAAGATGAGGGGCAGTGGGAGGGTGGGGGCTGGCACTGAGCATCTCTTGACGCATCGGCCGGGCGGGACTCCTGAAGCCACAACCCCCGGCCCCCTCCCTCCCCGGGGTCACACGACCCGAGACAGAGCGGCCTGCCGGCACCTCCTCAGCCATGTCCCGGCTCTCCTGAGAAGGTGGCATCTGGACGGGCACTGCCAGCCTCCGTGGGCCTGTTGGCACTGGCCCCCAGGTCTGCCGGCCACAGCAGGATTCAGATTCCAATTGTAATCACACACACGTGCCCTTTTCCTGTGACTTAGGGACAGGATGAAAAACCAAAGCCAGGCAGTGGGGGAGAAAGTCCCATGTTTTTGCTCTGTTATTCACTCAGCAAGTGCTTACTGGGCACCTGTTATCTGCAAAGCAAAAGATAAACCCAGGCTGACTTGGGTTAAGTCCCTCCTGGCTAAATGTCTGTGGACAGTAATATAAATGCATATTTATTTAATGCTACTGGATGCCACGCACTGTGGTGAGCACAGGACATACAACAGGGGCATGAACGGTGTCTTCATGGGACTCACAGCCTAATTAAGGAGCTGTGAGTGAGGGATAAAATGATCGCAAATGGTGACAAGTGCTATGAAGGAAACAAGCTGAAAAGAACAGAAAGAGCCCTCTTTCCAACTGGGTGAAGAAGTCTGTGCAAAGGTGGCAATGTCAGCCGAGGCCTGAAGCACGAGAAGGGCAGGGGGTGGGGCGTTTCCAGGCTGAAAGAACATCATCTGCAAAAGCGGAGAGGTGAGGACAGAGCGTGGTGTATTTCAGGAACCGAGAGAAAGACAGGACGGAGCTGAGTGAGGCAAGAGAGGCCGGCAGTGAGGCTGGCCCAGCAGACGGGCCAGATCGCGTGGACTTGCACGGACCAAGAGCACGTTCAGTTTTACTCTAAGGGCCCAGAAGGCAGCATGGGTAGATTTTAAGCAAAAGGGAACGACAAGAACCAATCTCCTCATTCAACAAATATTTGCTAAGCACACGTGTCACAGAGCCTGGCACATAGTGCATATTCATAAACGGTAGTTTCCTCCCACTTCCAAGAAACTTCCCAATTTTATCTCAATAAAACTAGGAAGAAATGCATTTTAAAAAAAGGAGGCTTGGGGCACTTGAGTGGCTCCATCAATTAAGTGTTTGACTCTTGGCTCGGGTCATGATCTCATGGTTTGTGGGATCGAGCCCTGTGTCGGGCTCTGTGCTAACAAGTGCAGAGCCTGCTTGGGATTCTCTCTCTTCCCCTCGCTCTCTCTCTACTCCTCTCCTGCTAGCTCATGCGCTCTTTCATGTGCACTCTCTCTCTCTCTCTCTTAAATAAACTTAAAAAAAAAAAAACCTTTCCACATAGTCGAAAAAATAATAACGTCAGGCAAGCAATACAGGTGCCCCCCAAAAGATTCAAGCACTGCCCAGGGGTGTAAGGAGGGAAAGATGACCTGCTGAAGGTTAAGGGCTACGTAGGGAGATGTGACGGGGACAGCAAGGAGCACTTCAGGAAGTCATGATCTCACCAGGTAAGTGGGCCTGGAGGGCACCCAGGCAGAGGGGTGAGAAGAACAAAGCAGGGGTGAGGGAGACGGTGCACGGTGGAGGCAGTGTGGGTTATCTGGCTGCAGCAGACTGCACGAGGGGAGGCTTCGCTGTGAAGGGAGGCTGAAGAGACGGGGTTGTGCTCAGTGAGCAGTGGAGCCCCAGAGCCTCACAACCAGGGATTAAATCGTGAATGTTAGGAGCATGTGATAGGTGGGAAGGGAGAGCAGCTAGAGGGCTGGTGCAGCACCCAGCAGAGTGAAAACTGAGGCACGGTGTCCAGGAAAGGAGGAATGGAGAGAGAGTAGGAAAGGCATTCTGGGGTCACCAGGACGAGATGTGGGGACAAGGAAGAGGGGATGGCAAGCACAGTCCCTAGGGCTTTAGTCTCAGTACTGTGGAGAATGATGAGGCCACTAAGGGAAGGAAGAGGGTCAGAAGGGAAAGCCAGCTCGGGATGAAAAACAGTTAACTATGTAACATTTCAGACGGAAATGCACGCATCCAAGTCAAGAGGGTCTGACAGTCAGAGTGTCTGTCCAGAACTCTGAAAGTTAGTCTGGGGACGGAAAGAGATTTTCTGACATGTTAGAAAAGTACAACTCAACTGTAAATAAAATCAAGTGAGGAGAGAAGGGTGAAGACAGATGCTAGAGAAAATGCTCACGTTTCCTAGAGGTTTGTGGGGGTTTTTTGTTGTTGTTTTTAAGTATTGATTTATTTTGCGAGAGAGAGAGGGAGAGAGGGAGAGAGAAAGAGAGACAGACAATCCCAAGCAGGCTCCATGTTCCGCACAGAGTCCAATGCGAGGCTCAATCTCACAACCATGAGATCATGACCTGAGCCAAAATCAAGAGTCAGACGCTTAACTGACTGAGCCACCTAGGTACCCAGAGTTGTT